CGTTTATCTTGAGAGCAGTGTCTTATAAAATACAAAATTTGCTGCTCTGACGCAACCGGCACCTATAGTAATAAGGTATCGATTTTCCAGAAACGAAAAAACCGTTATCGATATCTCAATATCAACATGGGAGAGGTGTGAAGATATAAATACTACCGCTGTGATCCATATTATCATTTTTAGTATATCGCATGGGTGTGACTGCGTGATTTAAGTGTAATTTCGTTCCAAATTCGATGCCACTGGAAATTTTTACATTTCATTGTTGCGATTAAAAGGTAAGCGTTGTAATGAATTTGAGAAAATTTACTTGGAGTGGAGGGATAAGTCGCTAGTCAAATTTTGTAGACCGGACATCGTACAAATTCTCCATCTTCAGGACATCTGTCTACACCTTTTAATCTATACGTAATATAAGTAATTTTTTTTCGATTTTGATAGACTTTTTTCTTCAATCTTTTTAGTATACTTATACCGATTGTCGTTGTCATAAAGCACAGGGTGTCCGAGAAAGAATCATAAAATAAAAATTATTTTTTTATTTTATGGGTAGGATTTTTTTTTATTTGTACCTTTATTGTATCCCATTATGAAACTAAATCAAAGTTGAATTACATGATTACTTAAGCATGATTTTTCCTTTTTTTGCAATTTAATAGGTACATGTTTAATTTGTTTAATATCAAGACAAAATTGTGCTATGCTGCTATTATTATTGGTCAATAAAAAAGGGTGTCAGTATTAAACAATTTAAAAGAAGTAAAATTCAGAGAGTAAGGAAAGAATTGGAAACACAACACATAGAGTAAACCAAATAAACCTCCCTCTTTATTATCTGTATAATTTATATTTACAACTTAATTAACCAACTCGTTGATTAAGACGAAATAATCTTCTCAGTCATTGATCGCGGAGATCTCCAGACATTACGACCTTAGATTTTTGCTTTGTGGAACAATAAAAAATAGGGTTTATGCAACTATTTAATTAATTTGATATTTCGTTATGTTCTGGTGTGATAATATTATACAAAAATATAATTTTTGATTGCTGATGCTGTTAAATCTTGTGTATTCGCGCCAATTCCGTCAAGATTTTTTTCTTATCGTTAATGTCTTATTTTACTTAAATAAATAAAACAAAAATTTGCCAATAAAGAGTTAAGTTTATTTTTTTGAAAATGTATAAGTTAAAACGATTCCTTAAACTTTATATTTGGTAACTAGGTAGTGTCGGTTGGGTTAGTTTTGGGGAGTTAAAAATATCAATTTCTTTTTAGTAGTAAATAAATGATGAAATTGGGGAAAAAGTAATTGCAATTTTTTTCTCGGTTAACTTATAAAATTGGTTGGCGTTGGACGTGATTTCATAGAAAATTCCACATTCACAAAATTGATAAAATATTTATTTTTGTTATATTATATTTATTTTATTTTACTAGGGCGTGGACATACTGTATTCGAAAAAGCTGGAAAAGTTAAATTTTATTCATTTTAAAATTGTTGAATCTATTGGTTCAAATTAATTTGCAGTCAATGAAACAAAAGATAAATTGTACTGTGTATTTATATATGTAAAAAAATTAGTTCAAAATTGAGTACTTCGTTTTGAATAAATGTCACAAGCACTTTATTTTATACACTACAAGTTATCTCATCTTTATGATCAATCCAATATTTGCTGATTTTATTTGTCGCTATTGTATTAAAATAGGTAAAAACGTATTTTCGAAATCTTAAGATAAGATAAACAATGTACATTTGTCGAGTTTATTTTATCTCACTTCAAACCAGAAAAACAATTTCCAACTGTCGTCACTTTGACCTAAAAATTAATCACGAGCCTTAAAACACGTGATTTCGAATGAAACAAGCGCGTTTTCACCAAAATTTAAAAAAACGCCATTTGGGCTTGTTGGAAATGTTTACTCATTAGTGAATACAATATTTTCGCAAAAGGATATGGGTATGAAATATGTATGTTATCTTATCATTTTTTGTCTTGCTTGTTTGATCTCGCTTTTTTCTCTTAGCAACTAAATTGTAAATTCGCACTTCTTTTAATGGTATGAAAGCGTTGTTGCAAATTATGGTCGAAATTTTTTACTAACTAGGATGAGTTGACATTCTGAGTATATTTGGAGTTTGTTGGAGATCTATATTGTAATTCTAATTTCATCAAATATCAAAAAATACAAAATCCGCCCACCTGAAAATTTTTAGCCCTTGCAACCGGTTAAAAGGATGGAAAACAATATTGGAGAAGTTCAATTTGGCCTTAGGTGGAAGGTGTAGGTCTTAGCATATATTTTCATTGCCAGATCTAACTCTTCCATGCGAGGACGATTTGTAAAATGATACACGAACACGATGTCGCAGATGGCATCCAGCGTCGGATAATGAGAGTTACATGGAGTAAGTGGAGCAGTGGTCTCTTCACTTTGATCGATAAGTGAGATTCAACTCCTCCAACTTATTGTTTGAACTCAAAACTTCGAATCAAACCTTTGTATCGCTGGGGCGTGACCAACGGACCATATCATTTTTTATATGATAATAAAAAAGAAAATATGTAATATATTGTACTGTTTCTGTTCATATGTTTTTTCGTTCAAACGTATGCTTTATTGTGACTGATAGTGAGGTAAGTTTAATTTCTCGTTTTTATTTTACAGACGGGAGTAAGAAAAAATATTATTGAGTATTGAGTAAAACAATATAATTGTTATTTTGAAGATTATTTTTAGTGGTTTTATTGATGATATAAGAATTTTCGATGATGTAGCATACGAGTTACTTTTTAAAAAAATATAGACCTTTTTTGCAAAGCATTAATTTGATTCGCTCTAGTGCTCTCTTTTGAATATTGGGTTGTTTATTAGTTACCAAATTTCATAACGAAAAAAATTAAATCAAAAAATGGCTCGTATGACTAAATTTTTCATCAGCTTTCTCAAAGAGAATTCAATAGCCTACAAAAATATATTCAAATAATAGTATGTCATGCAACAAGTGTAGAAAATGGCAGTTGAGGCCCGAGTGTTTGGACAGCAGCGGAGCGAGTGTTTAATAAGCGAGTGACTTGAAAAGTTCTTCGAACGTGTTGCATACTATGCTTTTTCTACGACCGTTGTTTTTGGGTACAAACCAACACGAATACATTCACTGATATGATCGTCAGAATTGACAAACGTCAAAATTCAAAGCGTGGGAAATATCTAGAAAAACATTCGAATGCTCCCAAACCCGTACGGTAAAATCTCGGAAATGTCTGAAGTGGCTCGGATCCGTGGGAAACGAAACTGACGTGGTAAAGTGGCGCTTCCCCCACGCTAGATTGGTGTGTAATTAGGTATTTTACAGACGGGAGTAAAAAAAATATTATTGAGTATTGAGTAAAACAATATAATTGTTATTTTGAAGATTATTTTTAGTACTTTTTAAAAAAATATTTTACACTAAAATATTAATAGACCTTTTTTGCAAAGCATTAATTTGATTCCCTTTCAGAATCACTAGTGCTCTGTTTTGAATATTGGGTTGTTTATTAGTTACCAAATTTCATAACGAAAAAAATTAAATCAAAAAATGGCTCGTATGACTAAAACTTTCATCAGCTTTCTCAAAGAGAATTCAATAGCCTACAAAAATATATTCAAATAATAGTATACCATGCAACAATTGTAGAAAATGGCAGTTGAGGCCCGAGTTTTTGGACAGCAGTGGAGCGAGTGTTTAATAAACGAGTGGCTAAAAAAGTTTACCAAACGTGTTAGTTTTTGGGTACACTTTTGCAAAACAACACAAATACATTCACTGAACTGTCACAATTCAAGCGTGCTGTAATATCCCCGAAAACATCCGATTGCTCTCAAACCCGTACGATAATATCCCGGAAATGCCCGAAGTGCCTCGGAACCTTGTTAAACGAACCTGACGCGGTAAAATGAAACTTTCGCCACCCTAGATCGCTGTATATTTACTAAATTAGGCATTTTATATAAGGGTATAAAAAAATATTTGTTTGCTTTGTTTCAATCGTTTGGCTGTTTCGAATCAATAATGACATCAGGACAAAAGAACAAGAAAATACACATGCAAGACCTCTTCCTATTAATTATGAGTGCTCAAACTTTGTCGATATTTTTTTCGTCATTCTGAATGATTTTATCGATATGTTTTTCATAAAAAAAAATAAATAATTTTTTTATTATTTTTTTTTAAATAAATAATTTGAATGAGCTTAAGTTGATGTTACGTAATTACTTATTTTACAAGTCAGCGGATCTCTGTTTTTAGTTAAATGGTTAGAATTAGAAATCTGATGCCATATTGTTTTGTTGTTCTTATTGAGTATCTGAATGAGAAGTAAAACAACTTGGATAAATTGAACGTCAACCACCAAAATGTCAAGAATATCGTTGAATAACTGTGCTCTACATTTATTAGAAACGCCATCAAGAATTTTATTATATTTATTTCATAGCTTGCTTTTTTTTATTTGCTTTGACCCTTATAGTAAACGAAAGTTTAACAAAATAATTTACCGTTCCTCCAGTGAAAGTTAATATAATTAAAAAATAAAATAGGAAATATCGTTTAGAAATGTATAACCGATACCGCGAATTTTATATAAATAATATAAAATATTTTTATATAAATACTGATAGGGGTTGTTTTTTTATTAATGAAACTAGATCTATTATGTTCTTGGCAGGAAATAATTGAACCTAAATATTAAATGGAAAAATTTTGGATATCAAATGTAGTACATGTATACGAAAGTTAATTACTTTTCATTAATTAACTTTGTTCTTCATCCTAATGTATTAGTAAGCAGTTAACCAAAACATGTCCCTTGTCAGATTGTAGCAGCTTGATCAATTTTTATTGAGATCCAAATGTTGGTTGTTTTTCTTAAAAGAATAAAAAGGCAGTTTTGTTTACTGTTTTCTTTTCCGGAAAGGCGTATTGTGATAAATAAACAGCTATATTGAGTAGTTAATTTATTTTCCAATTCAGTTAGAGATATATCACAAGGAGCACCCGCTCATTTTTTCATACGAGAGTTCATTGAGGAGAATATTATATGTACAATTTTTGCGTTCACAAAATGTCACAAAAGTTTAACTAAAATCTATTAATGGCAATGTGTTTCACAACAAACTAATTGATTTTTTAATAGAATAAATCAGAATAATGACAGTCGAGATCACCAAAGTTGACGATTATGTGATCGGATTATTTTTGAGTAATGATATCAATTATTTCATAAATTTCATCATCGTACGTCCCTTTCTTTATTTGGGTGCCGTTGTTAGGTTTTCGTCATGTTTCGTGATTTCGACCGCAAGTGTATTTTGATACAACTAGCTTGTTCAATCCACCAATCAACGCATTTTATACCATTTTGATGATCTGGAAACTATGCAAAAGTTAATTATGAATTACTATCTCTATTTGGGCCTTTAAGAGATTGTTATTAAACAATCAACGAGCGTTTAATTGACGGAAAATGAAATAAATAAAAAATATTTACAATGACAGTTTGGTCTGCGGTTTGTTCAGTTTTGAAATAGCAACTATTTGTGCCGTAAGGCTTGATAATGAATAGATGTCAATATGGTTTTACTTATTACTAATGAGATCTAAATCGTCACATTATTGTTTTAATTTAGTAAACGCGTTAACAATTTGATAGTCCAAACAATACACTACAAATTTAGTAAAACTAGTAAATTTACATTTTTCCTAATCACCTCCACATAGTGGAAAACCCGATTTCAATATCACATTATTTTCAAATTTCCTACTATAAGCATGGTATTATTCTTACAAAAAAAAGTAATTTTTTGTCTATGAAAACTAATTCGAAAGCGTATTCTACATTTTTGCGTTTCTCTTTCGTTTAACTCACATAGCTACTAGATATATAGAGGTCCTGCCTATGCTGATAATATAGGACCTTTGAAACAACCATGAAAAAGGATTTTAAGAAGGGTGCGGTCATTTGAAATCTCGTTTTCAACATTTGCCATTTCAAACTAATCGATGAGACCTAGACAACAATGGCAGTTCGTCGTTTTCACAAAAAATGAAGATTTCGTTATATGTTCTGGGAAAACGAGTTGTTCAGAAAGAAAATGGCTCAAAGTCTCTCCTGCCTCAATTTTTAGGCTACTATATTATCTACTAGCTATACAGTTTAACTCAATAAAACTACTGTTGGATTGCGTTCTATTTCAGTCGAATTTAAATAGTCAAATTTGTAACATCACATAATAATCACATCCAGATGTTTTCTATTTGCACTAAAATCTTCAAAGACCTGTCACACTTAACACGTGGTGCGCCCAATCATTTTGAACGATACCATATCCTTCTCGACTATAGAAAAACAGTTTCAAAGATAAAGTGTGTAAGGGCCTATCTGTTAGCTGCGCAGTACAACGATAGTTCTTCTCTTGAACACGATTTTTCACAGCACTCATTATACACTCCCCGTCGCCTGCGATTCTTTCCAAGATTTTCCAGTAACGTGGTCGCCATCGCGGAGAAATATGTCCTCTCTGGCGACGGTATGTTCTTTCTCCGGTGAGCTGCAATCAAAAGGACATTGATGAGTTTGAACAATATTATCTGAATCGCTTATTTATGGAACCGTGCTATTTACTTATTAGTTGAACAAGAAGTCTCTAACATCATCAACAAATAAGCAATAGAATATTCCGATTTGTTTTAAGTGTAAATAATATAATAATAATAATAATAATAATAATAATAATAATAATAAAACAGAATTTCATACTGCGCTGATCCAATATAAAGATGAAGAGCCGAAATATAGACCTAAGATACCAACACTACATACCTCTGTGAAACTATCTCAGATTGTCGAATTATTAAATACTGAAATTCTCCCATCTGCCCTACTTGACGCAAAAAATATTGCGCAAGTTCACGCCGTAGTCTATTGCTCCGCAGTTGCAACGGCTAGAGCGATGGGATTTAAAGTTACGTCCGACTCTAGAGTGCTGAATAAACAGGGCGAGCCGGCATGGAAGAAACGATTAAGCCAACTTATTGACACACTTAGGACAGACATCGGAAGGCTAACGAGCTTCCAGAAAAAATCCCACAACACACCTAAATTACTTAAGCAAGTTCAAAATATTAGGGAAAAGTACGGACGCCACGGAGAAGTTCCTAACCTTAACGACCAACAAATCATGGACACTATGAAGCAGAAGCTTTCAGTTTACTCAGCCCGATTGGCAAGATATAATAAAAGCTATAAACGGAAAACCCAAAATCATCTATTTAATGTAAGTGAAAAAGCCTTTTACCGTAGCTTAGATAAAAAGAAACACGAGTGTAATGAAGACCTCAAAATAACACCCCAAGAATTAGAAAATTTCTGGGCCCCAATATACACAAACAAGGATGAACATAACCAACAAGCAACGTGGCTATCTGAAATCTCTTCTACAATTGCAAATCCAATGGAATACTCCAGGATAACAGAAACAGACGTTAGAGCAGCAATATCTAGGACAGCCAACTGGAAATCTGCAGGTCCAGACAAAATACAAAACTTTTGGTGGAAACGACTGTGGGTCACACATGCGTACCTAGCCGAGCATTTCTCCAAAATAGTGTCTGATCCAGAGTTACTACCGTCATTCTTTACAACAGCCATAACTCATCTTATCCCTAAGGACACAACGAAAATTAATGATCCGTCCAAGTACAGACCAATAGCATGCCTCCCCACTATATACAAAATACTCACGGCATGCATCTCTAACAAAATCTACAACCACCTAGACAGGAATAGTTTGATCGCTGAAGAACAGAAAGGGTGCATTAGAAAAGCGTATGGCTGTAAAGAACAACTAGTCATCGACTCAGTCATATCAAACCAGGCAATAAAAAGCAATAGAAATATTCACATGGCTTACATCGACTATCAAAAAGCATTTGACTCTGTGCCACATTCCTGGTTGAAATATGTACTGAAACTCTATGGTATCCACCCCCAAATACGGACGTTTCTTGGTCTTTGCATGAAAAAGTGGAATACTGACCTAACACTCCACCATCAAGGGAAGTCGCTGATTGTACCGAGGATGAGGATTAAAAAAGGAATTTTCCAGGGCGACAGTCTGAGCGCTTTATGGTTCGTCATGTCAATAAATCCTCTCAGCCTGCTTCTGAATAACAGCCGATACGGCTTCGAATTAAAGACTCCTAATAGATCCCATAGGTTAAGCCACTTGCTCTATATGGATGATCTCAAACTATACGCATCTTCAAAACAACAACTATCAAGTATGATCCGGACAGTGGAAATGTTTAGCACGGATATCCGAATGAAGTTTGGTTTGGATAAATGTAGAACTATCCATATAAACAAGGGAAAGTTTTCTAACGTGGTGAACATACAAGAATCAGAGATTCAAAACATGCAAGAGACGGATCTTTACAAGTATCTTGGAATTGAGCAGGCGCGAAATATTGATCATGTTGGCACTCGAGAAAAACTCAAGAAGATAGTGTACGAAAGAACGCGCAAAATAGCCAACAGTTGTATAAATGGTCGAAATATGAGCAAGGCACTTAATACCTTTGTTATTCCAGTACTGACCTACTCTTTCGGCATTATAAAATGGTCAAAAACCAGCATCAAGCTAATAGAAAGCAAAATGCGTTCAATATATAAAAAACACGGTCACCTCCATCCCAACTCGTGCCGTGAGAGATGGACTCTTCCAAGAAGTGAAGGGGGAAGAGGAGTAATACACCTACTCAATATGCACAATAAACAAGTGAACAAGCTACGAGAGTATTTCTACAATAAAGATGCTGCACTACATAAAACCGTAATAGAGGCAGATAAAAAATACACTCCATTAAACATGGCAGATAGAAACGCAGTATTTCAAATTGAAATAAACGATGAGATCCTGCATCAATGGGCTCAGAAGGCGGTCCACGGCGGGCATTTTTCCGACCTGCATCAGGAAGATGTTGACATTAAAGCGTCAAACAAATGGCTGAGCAACGGAGACTTGTACGCCGAGACCGAAGGCTACCTGCTGGCTATTCAGGATAGAGTACTACCAACAAGAAATTATAAAAAATATATCCTTAATACCCCTCACACAGAAGATAAGTGCAGAAGATGTGGCCAAAATGGAGAAACTATTGAACACATACTAAACGGTTGTTCAACTTTAGCACCCACAGAATACACAATAAGGCACGATAATGTAGCAAAAATAGTTCACCAAAACCTTGCAGTTAAACATCACCTTCTTGAACAAAAGTGTCCTTACTTTAAATATCCACCTGAAGCCGTTCTGGAGTCAAATACCCATAAACTGATGTGGAACAGATCTATCATAACAGACAAAGCAATTCAACATAATAGGCCAGATATAATACTCACTATTAAAAATGAAATGATAACCTACTTAATCGATATCGCAGTACCTTGGAACAGAAATCTTTCAAATACTCACAACCGTAAAATACAAAAATACTCTGAGCTTGCTAGCGAGATCAAAAGAGTTTGGCGCCAAAGGGAGGTTCATACAATACCAGTGGTCCTATCTTCTACAGGCCTAATACCCAAAAAAACTTCATAACTCACTTCAATCTCTCGGCCTTCAACAATATCTCTATATGGAACTACAAAAAGCCAGCATACTACAGACTTGCCACCTGGTCAGAAATTTCTTACAGTAGGAAGAGTATTTGTCTCAGACCGTACCTTCTTATTAAAAATAAAAACCGACAACGTCGAGCTAAAGAATAAAAAAATAATAATAATAATAATAATATTAATCATAATATGAATATCCTGTAGACGACGACAAATTTATATGAAAAATAATACATAACATTTTGTGTATCCATAAAATAAACAAGTGAAAATTCTCCCTAAAACCCTTAGTTTAGTTTAGTTTAAAGGAATTGCTACATAATTTATAAAAAGTACATAATATAAAAAGTTTAAACACAAATACTACTTTAAATTTAAAACAAGCAAATCTTATATCTAATTCTTTGTCTTTTTATTTTAGACATTTGCCTTTTTTTGTCATTTATTCTGTGGCCTTAGGTTGTTTCAGTGGTAAATGTTTATTCAATTTAATTGTGTATCCATTGTTATTCATAAGTAATTTATTTTTTCTGTCGACTTTATTGAATGGTTTTCATTGTTCATTGTTTGTACATCTAAAGTGTTAAAATCTGGCAATTCCCGTTTATTGCACGAAAATGACATAAAACTGATTTTTCTTCATTTGCCATGACATCTTTTTAAACCAGCTCAAGTGTTTTGCTGACGTCATTTTCCACTTTGTTTTTAAGATCATCGCAAGAATCATCTTCGTATAGGAAATAGTATCGAGTTTATTTGACACGAGCGGAGCGCAGCGGAAAAAGCTCCATAATTGAACATGTAAATACTGGAATTCTGAAATTGGACCGCCTAATTTTTTTTTTTGTAAAACGAGGCCTCTGATTTAAGAACGAAATAAAATCAATTAAATACTGCTGGAAGTTCGAGTTGACCAAGCTTAAAAAAATTAGAACCGAAACAAATAACCGAACAAAGACATCATGAGATCAAATTAAATTGCATCAATATTTTTGAAACTTACCAGGCTTCATGGTGTTGTATTTCCCTTGACAGATTGTAGCCAGTGTTTCTGCCAGATGGCTTCCACAATACTTTTTATTTCTTATGGATATGTCCTGCTCTAAATGCTCATCTACCTGACACTTGCATCCAGCTAAATATATTAACACGAATAATAAAACAAAAATGTGGTATTCCATCTGGAACAAAGAAAACAAAAAGTTACAGGATATAAGTTACAATTTATCATGGTTTTTAGTATTAAATCAGTTTTGCTCAAAATTCGTCTTCCGTTTATTTCTGAATATTCTATGTAGAGTGATTAGTTGCGGTGCAGAAAACTTTTCATAATTTAAAAATACCGACAAATGATACTTATATTTTTGAAGAAGATTGTATACTTAAGTTACTATATTCGGCAATGTCAGTTTCTAGCCAGTTAATGGAAAAATGGAGTTCCATAGCCATTTTGGAGGAATTGTGTCCAATTAATTTTTGTGAGAAACTGAAGAATAACATAAGAATTATAAGCAATTCAGCTTTATCTTATGTCATATTAGAATAGAATATAGAAAATAATTGCTATAGTGGAAGCTTGGAGTTTTAAAATAAAATAAAGATGTTGTTTAGCTTTTGTCTGTACCTAGATAAAATTAGGTGTTTATCAAATCAAATAACAAAATTAGAATTGGTAGTATGCCAGATTAAATGAGGCGAAGCAACCTTACTTTGTACGAAAATGGTATGTCGCCTACGTCATATTCATGAATGGAATTCTTAATCGAACGGCATTTTAAGTATGTTAAATCAGGTAGTTCGGAAATAATTTCGTTCATCGATGACGTCAATTTTCTATATAGTGATACCAAACCATAGGTTCTAAATTTAAAAACATTTTACTGATTTCCATAAAAGGTTCTTAATCACTTTTTATCGCGTTGCTTTGAACATCCTGGTGATCATCAGAACGTTTAGAATAATATCTTAATTTTTTAAATCTAAAAGACAAAAAATGGTTAAAATTTAAAACATATTATACTTATTTTTATAATCCACCAGAATTTAGGTGGGTGTAAATATCTTTTTTGTAGTGGCTATTATTTGAAACGGCAATCGTGGTTAAAGAAGAATATTTTGTGTTTTATATAACAGCAATTGCTTAAATTATTTGCAACTTAAAAAGAAGCTAGATAAAAAGAAAAACTATATTATGGTCATCAGAACGTGTAGAATAATATTTTAATTTCTAACATCTGAAATTATATTTATGTTTTTATATTTCACCCCAATTTAGATGGGTCTGAATATTTTTTGCAGTGACTATTACAGGTCATGTGAAAGGGAAGTCGTGGATGAAGAAGCTGCATAATGAATAGTTTGTGTTTTATATAACAGCTATTTACTCAAAAAAAAAAACAGGTTTTAGTTATTTCGTGTTTTTTATTATTTGCAACAAGTGTAGTAAACGGCATTTAAGTGCTTAATAAACGACTGACTCAAAAATTTTACCAAACGAGTTGCATACTATACTTTTTCTACGACCACTAGTTTGTGAGTGAATGTTTGCCAAACAACACCAATACCTTCCCTGACATGACCGCCAGAATTGGCAAATGTCAAAATTCAAGCCGTGAGTAAAGTGACGCTTCCCGCACACTAGATCGGTGTGTAATTGTATATTTTACAGAATGTGTTGCATGCTATACTTTTTCTGCGATCCTTAGCTTTTGGGTACATTTTTGCAAAAAACAACAGAAATACATTCACTGACATGACCGTCAGAATTGACAAACATCAAAAATATCCGATTGCTCGCGAACCCGTGCGGTAAAATCCCGGAAATGTCCGAAGTGACTCGGATCCGTGGGAAACGAAACTGACGTGGTAAAGTGAGGCTTCCAGCACGCTAGATCGGTGGATAATTAGGTATTTTACAGACGGGAGTTACATTACACACACACACATTACGCGTACTGGAAATATATTTTTTACTCCCCTCTTTACATTCAGTTATGCCTTGATGAAGCGTGCTTAAAGTGTTTCATTTAAGACGTCAGGGATGACTGATGGTATTTGGAAATTTGCCAGTTCTGATAGATATGTAAAACATCATTCAGTTATTTTATTAGTGCCCTTTAGCAAAAAAGTGTGCAAAACTTAATTCTGGTTTCTAATTCTAGGTATTGTTGCTACACGTCTCCAGGCGCTCGTTTATTAAACTTGTGGAGCATACTATGTATTGGAGATTGCACCAGAGTATTGTACAGGGTGGGCCAAACAATACTCTTTCTTAAGGGAATATTTTTTTCGATCAATGTAACTTTTTTATTTTTATGACTAACTTAAGTTTGAAATAACATTTTCTTCGCGAATTTTTATGCGTAATTCGAAAACGGCAAGAAATTTTATACCGGACGTTCCGTTTACAAGTTACTGAAACAAAATTTAAATTTCCTTTGGTGTTAACCCGCCTTGCAAGAAACTAGGTAATTTCTTTATTATATAGATACAAAAAATGCGTTTCAACACTTCTTGTTTTAGCCAAGCCGCTACTTTTGGATAAATTGCCTCTTTAAGTGCGTTCATTAAAAGTGAAATCGATATCCGGACTCTCACGATTGGTAGATAAGAGATTACGTGTACCTCGACCTCCCGAAAATGTTGGCTCCACTCTTAGATAAATTAAATTCTGAAGGCATTTTCACGCACCGATCACGCAGTGGTAATAAAGTTCAGAATCCAATTGCCAATAGCCGTGTTTTGGTTCGAGTATCAGTAGGGATAACAAAATTTAGTTTTGAAAATATTTGTTTCGTTGCGCTCGTTATACGGAGCGTTTTTTCACATTCGGTTGTGAGTTTAACATTGAAAAAAAATGTGGCTTAATTGAAACTGTTTGTTTTTATTATAAACCATATTTTTCCTAGTTTTTCACAATTCAACTGTATCCTACGTATACAGCTAATAGATAACATAGGGGCTTGAAATTTGGAAAAATTGATGCACCCCAAGTTGCTATGCAAAAGCATACCCGCTCAGATCATATTTCGGTTGCCGGTCGAATTAAACTAGAAAAACTGACGAAAACAAAAAGAAATAGAAAATCGTTTGGAATGGGAGTCGGACACAAACAGTAAACAAACAGAGGGCGAAGACAAATATTAAGAATTCTGTAATAAGGGGAGGAGAAGAATTTATGCCTATGGAAGTTTTAAAGAAGAAATAGAAGAAAAATACAGTTCATATATTACAACTGATGGATGAAAGACGTAAAAATAAAAACAAAAACAAAAAAGAGTATAGACGCTTAAATAAGATAATTGAAATTAATGAAGTAGAAAAATTGCGACACCAGCACAGAGATCGTTAACTACATCAAGAGATCAGAGACGTCACTAGCCAGCGACAGCCCAAACAACTTTCACTAGTGACTAACGAGAATAACGAAATTGATGGATCCAGATAAACAGCAGCAAATTTCTGAAAGATATCTGGACCAGCTATTTGGCGACAATGAATGACAAGAATATCAACACACCGACAAAGGCGACAACATACCTATACTCATTACAACGGGCTATTAGAGAGACTAAAGACAACAAGGCACCAGGTGAAGACGCCACGACGGCTAAACATTTCAACCCCTTAGTGAAAACGCATTTAAACGAATGACCCTTCTTTAATAACATATATGAAAGTGGTAAAATCCCACAAGACTGGCTTAAATCAACTTACGTAGCGCTGCCAAAGAAAAACAAAGCTCGCAAGTACGAAGATCATTGGAATATGTGTCTAATGAGCCACGCTGCAAAAATCTTCAAGAGGATCATTTTTAATCATATCCAAAATAAATGTGAAGTATACTTAAGCAGATCTCAGAATGGCTTTAGAAAAGGGTCTGGTACTAAGAAATCTAAGAAGTACATGGATGACACTGTCATTATAGCCGAATAGGAAGACCACCTACAAAGATTGATGAACAGACTGACCAAAGATAGGGTTAGACGGGGTTTAGAGATAAACACCACAAAAACAAAAACAATGGTCAAAAGCCATCTAGACCACTCAAAAGAGATCAGAAGAATTGAGATCGCAAGAGCTGTATTCTTGACTTCTTATGCCACCTCGAGTTTTCCACACCAGTTCGAATGAGAACCCTGAAATGTTACATATGGCCCTTGCTTTTGGGCATTAAAACAGAAGAATGTTTCAAATCAGATGGACCTCTAGGACAACCAATAAAGAAGTTCTAACACGACACATAATGCGCCATAAACAGTATGAACAATTGCAGGGACGCAAAATTGAGGGTAAGAGAAGAATAGGCAGAAATAAGAAATCGTGGCCCAGAAACTTCAGAGACTGGACCCACACAAATAGTAACACACTATTTCATCAAGCCCACAATTTCCATTGTCATATTGATCGCCAACCTCGCGAGATAAGGCACACAGGAGGAGGAAGTGGCTAAGACATTTTTGTTTTGTATAGAAAGTAGATCTTTTAACATGTTCCTAAATTTCACATACTCACTGCACTTTGCGATATTGAAACAGGTGAATGCGTTTATTCCTGAAAATATACTGCGATCCGCACAAATTTTAATAAAAAGAAATTGAAAATTGACCAGTCAATTGACCGAAATTATTTTTAAAATACAATGAAATTTATGTTTATTAAATTATAATTATTTATATTGTGCATCTCCGTTGCATTTTCTGAGAACTAAATCTAGTCGATATTTTATTTAAACTGAACATCACAATTGCATAATAATTTATTATAAAATACATATTATTATTAAATAAGATGGATAATACTCTACAATTGCAGGATGTTATTTAAAACGTTTTGATTGATTTTGACTAATCAATGAAGAAGTGGTCAGTTGACGGTCAATTAGTCATGATGATGTGTTATTTAATAAAAATCCAATATTTCCTACAAATGAATTCCTCAATCAATTTAAAGACTAGATGTAGAACATAGTACATTAAGCAACAAGTTTGAGTGAGTCCTTAGTAAACGAGTTTCTGAAGAACTTTATAAACTGCATATTATACTATTTCTAGGCTCATTAAATTTTTAGAAAGCAGAACGAGTACATTTGTTGAATGAAGTGAAAAAAAGGGTCCTATTGCCAAAAGTTTTATATCAATTTTATTAAAATTAATAATTATAGCAATAGTTCTCCAATGCT